GTTCAAAGATCATTTTGGCATCATTAATTCATAGTTTTAACATCAATTTAATGGTTTATGATTCTTGGTTCTTGAAGCATGTCAAACACAAAACTCAACCAAACGACCGTTTATGAACGTAGAAACGATCTATACAAACATTCTAGTCATTAGATATATCTACGGGCTTACCTCGAAGCGTAATGGAGGTTTTGGAAATTTTCCGGCGAAACTTCCGGCAAGGATTGTGGCTATCTCCGGCGACCTCACACCAATATGACAGCACTACTTCACTCTCTACACTCTCAGCTATCCTTTGGAAGAAGAACGGTGAAGAATGGTGAGAAATTGGAGAGTTTATATAAGAAGGAGGAAGGGGAAGAAGCCATGGGAGATGACCTCCCTAACACTGTTTTGGCGTCTCAGTGGAGGGGGCTGCGGCTCCGACAGATTTTATACGTAAGTCCCTGATTGGGACTAATTTGGTCCCAGTCGGGGAACACTTTTTGGTCCAACTTTCTCCGAATTGAAATCCGATTAAACCGTTGGAATCGGACAGTCAAACTCTACATAATGATAAAAATTTTATTATTTATTGACCAACTTTATAATTCACATATTTTTGGGTCCTTCTTAGTAATTAATTAATTATTAATTAATTAATTCTAATAGGCCTATTTTCGGGGCGTTACAACTAGGCCCAGCTCCTTGGGCCGGCCCAGCTTGAGTATTTCACAGGTGCTTGACCCGAAGCTGTTTAAATAGTTCATTTGGGGCGTCCTCTGGATATCGGCCCATCAGACATATATATGTTTAAGTATTATTTAGTACAATTTTCACTTTAAAGTTTTTTTGAAAATCATACGCATACGCGAGTATAATACGCGTACTATATATACATATGTAAGTATAAAAAGTGTATTCACTAATTGAAAAAAAACAAAATAGCACTCTTAGAGTCCTAAAATACTCTAAATAGCAGTGTTATATGTTTCGTACATGTGATTCCGATTTTGTCCTTTAATTAAACATCGAATATTCATTACACACTGCCAAAAATTATGATTGTTTTGTGCAGTGTGGTTGTTCACTTGGAACTGTGTAGTGGGCAATGTGGTTTTTTATATGTGAGTATTTAATGTGGCAGTGTGGAATGAATATATGTTGTTATATCTTACGGCAGTGTGTACGTGTATTATTATGTTTCTTAATTTCATGTTGGAGTGTAATGTCCATTGATTTATGTGACAGTGTTTTCATATATAAATTCTACATTGTCAAAAAGTATATGACTGTTTTCATGCACAAATTCTACACTGCCCAAAAAATGTATAGCTTTTTTTATGTATGAACTCCACACTATTTTCATGTTTGAATTCCACACTACATGAAAATGTATGACTGTGTTAAAGAGCATCCCACATCGGAAAAGTGTGAGAAAAATTAATCGGTATATAAGCTCTTGAGTTGAGCTAACTAATCGATTGGATTCAATCTTTTAATGTGGTTCAGCCCAAGTGTCTTATTGCCCAATCAAGTTATCCCTACCCAATTCTTAATTCTATCATGATATCAGAGAAGGTTTTGGCCCACCTCGTTTGTCAAGGTGTCCGTCTAGACGTTCATTCCTAGCGGCCCGTTTGTCTTTAGCCCAGTGTTCCGTATGGAGTATGTACCCAATGGCCTGTGGCCCGTTTAACACGATTGCTCGTCTGGAAATCCATACCCAGCGGTTCGTGGTCCTTTAGGTGTTGGCGCTTAAAAAAAAAGAAAGTCAAGGGAATGGGAGTTCATTTGCAAGTGGTCAACCGGTTAGATTCAAAATGGCCCGTTTGTCCACTTGAGGGGGAGTGTTAAAGAGCATCCCAAATCGGAAAAGTGTGAGAAAATTAATCAGTATATAAGCTCTTGAGTTGAACTAACTAATCGATTGGATTCAATCTTTTAATGTGGTTCAACTCAAGTGTCTTATTGCCTAATCAAGTTATCTCTACCCAATCCTAAATTCTATCAGACTGATTTTATAAATAATCTATTACACCAAAACACGTACACTGGCCAAACATGGGAGTTAAATATAAAACTTAATTTAATACGTATGAATTGAACTTGTTTAGACATTATACATTGATAAACTGCGTAGAAGGAGAATCTCGCAGAGCTATGGTAAATGGCGAAAGATGATATTTTCGCACATATGAGATGCATGAATGTGGAGGAGCCGCACGTATGAGGAGGAGTGGCTACGTGAATAGCCTAAGTTTAATCAAATAATTAAAAGTAATTAAAAATAGTAGAATAAAATAAAAGTTAAAGGGTATGCTTGAAAGATATTGACACTATAAATAATTAAATTAGTATAAAAGATTAAGAATTGCTATATGCGGAATATTGAGTGACTTAGAGTGCTACGTAGGGTGATTTCTTTAATTAATTAGGGTATATTTGTGCAGTCTTAAATTAATTAGTCCTTAATTAAGACTCCACTCCGTATTTTAGTTCGGTGGATGAGTGTTACAGACAGGCTGTAATCTAGCTTGATCAAAACGAGTTATATTTTCTTGTGCATGTGATGTTAGGTAGAAGATGCAAAAACTGAATTGTGGGTACTAAACTGATTTGAACTTATGTTTGAAAGCTCTCCTCTAACCTCTCTTTGATAAGATAAGATGAAATGGTACTAATAATTAATTAATTTATTAATTACAATAGATCATCTTCAATTCAAGGAATGTACGGCTTTATAGGACGTACTAATAAAGCCCATATATTTTCAACTCCGATGGCACTCATTACCAATGATATTATTGGACTCAAATGGGAGAAAGAAATATATATTTTTGGGAAAATGATACTCACTAATAGGTTATGTGTTATAGCGGGACTTGATGGGATGCCAAATTGGCGCTCTCTCAGCATGTGAGTGTGAATAGAAACGTGTGTATTATAGCGTTTGAAAGAGGATGTAATAAAAAAGTGAAAAAATAAAAATATGAATTTTTTGATTGATTGATATGAATGTGCAATCAATTTTGATTACTTGGAGATTAATAAATAATGGAAGGGAGAAGGCTATCACTATCGTGATGGCTTCTCATGCTAGGGCAAAAGCTAGGGCAACGCCCTCTCACGCTGCCACCGTAATGGTGATCGAATGGGGTGAGATGACGGTGCTAGTGTTAATCAATTCTTAAACATAAAATATAAATTAGGGATTTAATCATGTGTACCTGATACCCTGTAAACGTAGTTAGGGATGAGGCCATGATTCTCACGCAGATCGAGTTCCCGTTTAGGGTGTATTATTATGATGGCTAAGGTGAGAATGACTCACGAGACTAGAGAGGCAGAGAGGAGGCGTAAGATTGGTGTGTTCTGATCTTTGCCTAATGACCTCTATATATACACCCAAGGGGAAACCCTAATTAGGTCATAAGGGTAATTACGTCCATCGAATAATTACCAATTAAGTACGTAGGGTATTTATTAGGTCAATGATCAATTAATTAGATAAAAATATGAATTTTTTTATTGATTGATATGAATGTGCAATCAATTTTGATTACTTGGAGATTAATAAATAATGGAAGGGAGAAGGCTATCACTATCGTGATGGCCTTCTCACGCTAGAGCAAAAGCTAGGACAACGCCCTCTCACGCTGCCACCGTAATGGTGATCGAATGGGGTGAGATGACGGTGCTAGCGCTCGGTCATGTAGGCCATAACACATATATGGTCTTAGACTATGTGTTATAGAGGGCTTGACGGGTGCCACGTAAGAGCAGCGTAAGCGGGTTGGTGTGAGCAGAAAAGGATGAGTTATGGAGTTTTGAAAGGGGATGTGACCAAAAACCGATGAAGTGAAAATGTGGATGATTTTGATTTATTGAGGTGAATGTATGTTAAATTTTGATTTTCTATTATCCATATTATTCCTAATATCTCCCCGCATCATCGGTAACGAAGAGCAGCAGCTTAGAGCACAAGTGCTGGAATTAAATTGGCAAAAGCAATTTAGTGAGGAGCCGCTAGAAGTTGAGTGACAGATCTTCGTTGCATCATGAATGAGCTTGAGAGTACGCTTGCTAAATTTTTTTAAGACGAGTGTTGGCGGTTGAAACAAGAGTGAGGAATTTCTTTTTTTCTCCTTGTGCCAGTTCTCGATCTCTAGATAAATAATAAATTATAGACAAATGCGATCATCATGTTCTTCGATCACACACATAATTTTTTAGAGAGAAAAAGATAAGGGATGACAGCCCTTACGCATGCCCATGATTTTTTGGAGGAAAATATAGGGAGAAGAGGCAACAATTGTTAAGCACACTCGTTGAGATCAGTGGCGGTTGTTAGGAACGCACACCATTTTTTTAGAGGAGAAACCTTGCTCCGATGCTATGATAAAATTTGATAATAATTAGTTTTATTGAATAATGAAAGTTCTATCCATATGTATGGGAATGTCAAGAAAGAATATTAATAATATCTGAATTACAATTATAAAAGCAATATAATAAAAAAGTAGTAATGATAATTTTTTCTTATTATATCTATTTTTAATAATAATAATCAAATAAATTGATTTAAAAATAACTTTAGTCAAATCTCTCATAAACTAAAATAAGAAATTAGTTTTAGGACGAAGAGATGAAACCAAGTACTCCCTCCGTCCCGCTATATTCATCCACTTTTGACTTTTGAAACTGTTTATTTAAGCACTTTGATTCATCAAATTCTCTTAATGTGTAAGCCTAAATATAGTCATGTGTGATCTTGTTTGATTTATCTTAACATATAGATTATTAATATATAATTTCTATAATTTTTTAATATACAAATTACAAGATAAAATGGATTAAAGTAGTGTATTGGATGGTGTGTAAAAATGAAAGTGGACAAATACTCTGAGACAGAAGGAGTATAGCAGACACAACACATAAACACTCAATTATTGGGTCCCCAATTATTTTCCTAATTTTTAAACTCTCTATAAGTCAAACATCTAGTTGTTTGATGCATGGATAGAGAGATGCTCCAACTTCAACAGTGCTCTCATTAAAAAGAGCAGCTGGAGTCTGCAAACTGCAAAGCACCCATGTTTTATTTTTGCAGATTTTCAACTTCCCATTAAAGCAAAGTATTCTGAAGCAGTGCACCAAACAATATAGGAGCATTACTACTACTACTACTAGGACGATATGTACGCCCCACAAAAAGTGTTCTTTGTTTTCTTGAATCCAAGTCACTAAATCTCCGCACCGGAGAGAATCTTACCATAATAGAGCAAAAAAAAACATGGGTCTTAGAGTAGTATTTGTGGGGATTATGTTTCTGGTTTCTTGGGTTTATTGTGGGAATGCTTCAGTCTCGTATGATAGGAATGCTATCATTGTTAATGGGCAGAGAAAGATTCTCATTTCTGGATCCATTCACTACCCAAGAAGCACTCCTGAGGTATATATTATAGATTCTGCCCATCCTTTTTTTTTTGGATTCTGCCCATTTTTCTTCCTACAACCTGAGGTTTATCCAATTCAATCTCTCTCTCTCTCCAAATATTGGGAATTTGGGTATTTCTAAGTTTTTTTTGGGTGTGGTGGGTGTGTACAGATGTGGCCAGATCTTATTCAGAAAGCAAAAGAAGGAGGCTTGGATGTGATTCAGACCTATGTTTTCTGGAATGGGCATGAACCTCAACCTGGCAAAGTATGTAAATTGTCTTTTTTTTATTGTTGTTGAATGTACTTCTGTTTACTTACAGTCAGCAGATTTTGGAATGAAATTTTGAATTTCTGCTGGGGTTTGCAGTATTATTTTGAGGAAAGATATGATCTTGTGAAATTCGTTAAGTTGGTTCAAGAAGCTGGACTTTATGTTCATCTCAGAGTTGGACCTTATGCTTGTGGTGAATGGAACTTTGGGTAATGTTCATAGATATAATTCTAATAATCTGGAAGTTTATATATGTTCAAATTTCAATGGCTGAACGGTTTTGATTTCAGTGGCTTTCCGGTTTGGCTGAAGTATGTTCCAGGGATAAGTTTTAGAACAGACAACGAACCTTTCAAGGTTAGGAAGATTGGCCATGAAAATGTTTTGTTCCTATGATGATTATATTATTGCTTTTCTAATTTTTAATTAAAATGGGTTGTTTTAAAAAATGGACTTCAAAAAGGTTGCAATGAAGAAATTCACAACCATGGTTGTTAATATGATGAAAGCAGAAAGGCTGTATGAATCTCAGGGTGGTCCTATAATCTTATCCCAGGTAATTACCGTTTCAAGTGCTGTAAAGTCCTTATTAGTACTGATTCTAGCCCATTTAGGGCCAAAGAGGCGATTTAATTAGGGGCCTTTTGCATGATGAGAAAAATGATAAATTTTGTTATTTTAGATTGAGAATGAATATGGACCCATGGAGTATGAACTCGGTGCACCGGGTCGTGCTTATGCCCAATGGGCAGCGAAAATGGCTCTAAACCTTGGAACGGGTGTCCCGTGGATCATGTGCAAGCAAGATGATGCCCCGGATCCAATTGTATGTGTTCCCAATATTTCATTGTTTGCCATTCTTATCTCTTTCTTACTCAGTTACTTGCGTAGCAACGAATTTCATGTTTTTTCAAATGCTTTCTTTCCCAGATTAATACTTGCAACGGTTTCTACTGTGACTACTTTACCCCTAATAAGGCATACAAACCAAAGATTTGGACTGAAGCCTGGACAGCCTGGTAATAATGCTTAGATCAAATTCTCCACTCTAAACCAAAAGCCAGAACTATATATCATTAGAGTTTGCTAACGATATTCTTTTGATTAATTGTTGCAGGTTTACAGAGTATGGCAGTCCAGTACCTCATCGTCCAGTTGAGGATTTGGCATATTCTGTTGCAAAGTTTATAATGAAAGGGGGATCATTCATTAACTACTACATGGTTTCTTTCCTGTTCAATTTTCTTGCCTGAGTTTCAAAGTTCCTTTCTTCTTTTCATAGTTTCGTCATCTGGGTGTTTGTTTGCAGTATCATGGAGGCACAAACTTTGGCAGGACATCCGGTGGTCCTTTTATTACCACTAGCTATGACTATGATGCTCCCCTCGATGAATTTGGTATGAACCAGTGCATCCAATTACTACTAGCTATGACTATGATGTTTTCAATATTGTTCTGTTTGAAATTATCCCATATCAGCTGAATATGGATGAATGAACCCTTTGCAAATTGCAAATATTCCCTAATTTTTTTGACAAGGCTCACCTTAGACATACTCTGCTAATCTCATATATATACATATACACACTATTGGGGAAAAACAAAACTTTTGACTGTTCGCCTTTCAAAGGATTGCTGAGGGAACCTAAATGGGGCCATCTGAAAGATCTGCATAGAGCAATAAAACTGTGTGAACCAGCCTTAGTATCTGGGGATCCAATTATAAAATCTCTTGGAAATTTTCAAGAGGTAAATTCCCTTTCGGATTATCAAAACACCATTTGTATTTTTTTCACATTTAAGATAAAAACTTGACTGGTTTTCTGTTTTTTTATTATCATAAAGGCACGCATCTTCAAATCAAAGTCAGGAACTTGTGCTGCATTCCTTGCAAACCATGACGAGCATTCATTTGCTAAAGTGTCTTTTGGAAACATGCACTACAATTTACCCCCTTGGTCGGTCAGCATTCTTCCTGACTGCAAGAACACCGTATATAATACTGCTAGGGTGAGAAGAAATAACCCTTGACATATTTCACTGCACTGTAAAAAAAACAGCACTGACTTCCTTCCTTCCATGCCTACAGGTTGGTGCTCAAAGCACACAAATGAAGATGACCTCAGCTGGTGGCCAAGGTTTATCTTGGCATTCGTATAATGAAGAGACAACATCGTACGATGACAATGCATTTACAGCTGTTGGGTTGTTGGAGCAGATAAACACCACTAGAGATGCTTCTGACTACTTGTGGTACATGACAGAGTACGTGTCCTTCAAACTTCAGAAATTTAGTCATGTTAGAGTATAAGAACATTTTTAGACCTACAACCACAAACTTGAGCTTCTGGTTGAGTAGGTTCCTTAATATGGTATCGAAGCCCCGTTGACTAGAGATCACGAGTTTGAATTCTCAAATAGACCTTGCTTGCAACCTACAATCATAAGCTTGAGTTTTTGGCTGAGTTGGTTCCTTGAAAAGTCATGCTTTCACATGTAATTATAATTCTAAATGTTGAATCAAATCGCCTTAATCCAAGTAATTACTTATTTCAATGCACGTTTCATTACTAGTGTCACAATTGACTCAAGAGAGGGATTCTTGAGAGACGGAAAGTGGCCTTGGCTTACTGTCTTCTCAGCGGGACACGCTTTGCATGTTTACATCAACGGTCAATTAGTAGGTATGTAGTATGGTTTTGTTTGGTGGAGGTTAGGATTAGTTAGTATGTTATTGCGACACTATGATAACTTCGTGCATTTCCACAGGAAGTGCCTATGGAAGTTTAAAGAATCCAAAAGTAACTTTCAGCCAAGCAGTGCATATGAGAGCTGGTGTTAATAAAATTTCATTGCTAAGCATTGCCGTTGGTCTTCCGGTTTGTTCTCACGGCAACTAACTTTTAGGTGTTAGCTGTGTGGGTATAGTAGTTGTTTAAAAAACTTGAAAAACTATGTTTTTGTAAACCAATCTTCAAAAGTAACTGCTCCAAAAATCTTGAAAAAACAATTTTTTTCTTTTGTAAACAATTTTCTTGGGAGCAAAAAGCTCTTCATGTGGCTCTTTACCAAACACTACTAATAGGAGTTCTTAGCCCTAACCCTCCGTTTGGATAATAAGAAAAGGGAAGGAAAGAAAATGCAATGTGAGAAAACACACATTACGAAGCATTTTATATTGTTTGTTTTGGTGAGAGAATGAGGGAGGGGAGAAAACTACACAAAAAGTTTTCTCTCTAACATTGGTGAGAAAATGGCATCATCCTCCCACCACAAGATTTTATTTTTCCATCTTTTTCATCTCTTTTCTCACCGTTTTCTTATCATCATTTTCTATCCATCCAAACACTAATTTTTTCTCTTCATTTTCTCTCCAATTTCTTTCCTCTCATTTTCTCTCCCCATCCAAACAAAGGGTAAGAGCTCTTTTTTTTTCTTTCTTTCCAACTTTCCAAGAACTCTTAGCAAACACCCCTATGTATCTCCTTCGCACATGCGCTTTTCGCATTTAATTTAAATGAAAATTTATGAAGTACACAAAATTTCTGACTTTACTTCTTATCAGAACATAGGTCCTCATTTTGAGACATGGAACACTGGCATTCTTGGCCCGGTTTCTCTTTCTGGTCTTAACGAGGGGAAGAGAGTTTTAACCTGGCAGAAATGGTCTTACAAGGTATTTATTTACATAATTACATATTGTTCTCTTAAAGATTTAAACATATTTCTTGATTTGGAACTTTTCCCCCCTTTCAGATTGGCCTCAAAGGAGAAGAAATGAGGCTTCACTCACTCACTGGGAGCTCCTCAATTGAATGGATTCAAGGCGCTTTTGTGGTTCAAAAACAGCCACTCACATGGTATAAGGTGTGTGCCGCACATTGTTGCTTTTAGTTTATGGCCCTACACTTACCATTACATGTATCTGTGTGACTAAAAGCGTGTGAAAGTCCTTGCCTCACTTTTACAGACTACTTTCAATGCTCCGCCGGGGAATGAACCTCTGGCATTGGATATGATCACTATGGGCAAAGGTCAGGCATGGATAAACGGTCAAAGCATCGGGCGATATTGGCCTGCAAACACAGCATCTGGCAGCTGTGGTGCCTGTAATTACGCTGGTTGGTATGATGAGAATAAATGCCTGAGTAACTGTGGCGAAGCTACACAAAGATGGTATGTGGGATAGAAAATGTTGTATAAAATCTTTCCTGTGATTTCATCCATAAGCTTGAGCTTCTGTTTGAGTTGGTTTTTTCTTGACATGGTATCAAAGTCTTGTTGAACATTCAACCACAAGCTTCTGGTCGAGTTGGTCACTTTACAAAAAAAATTCCAGTTCTTTGACACTCTCTGTCTTTCTTCTAATAGTAATGCAACCAAATTAAACTACATGGTGATTGGTGGTGTCCCACAGGTACCATGTTCCTCGGTCTTTCCTGCAGCCGACTGGGAATTTGTTAGTTATATTTGAAGAATGGGGAGGAAACCCGTACGGGATCTCGCTGGTGAAACGCGAAGTTGAGAGTGTGTGTGCAGATATATATGAGTGGCAACCACAGTTAATGAACTGGAAGATGCAATCATCTGGTGAAGTCAACAAACCACTCAGGCCTAAAGCTCACCTCTCCTGTGGTCCTGGTCAGAAGATCTCTTCAATCAAATTTGCTAGCTTTGGAACCCCCGAGGGGGTTTGTGGAAGCTTCCGCCAGGGAAGCTGCCACGCATTTCGCTCCTACGATATTTTTCACAAGGTAATCTGACTACGAAAATGCTTGGGGAACACCAAGTTGTACCCCAAGTTGTACCCCGCCCCTCCCCTCACAACACATTTCTTATCCAGGATCCAAAAATTGGATCTTGGATAAAAAAATGTATGGTGAGGAGAGACGATGTACCCCAAAAATAGATTTTTTTTTTCCTTGGCTTACAAGACTACAACCACAACCATGCAAGACTCGAGCAAAAACAAAAATCTTGTCCACATGTGAGGGGACGTATTAGAGTATAAAATCTTTCTTGAGCCTATAACCATAGAGGCTTGAGCTTTTGGGTTACTTAACACCTCAATGCGTTGCTGCATACTACCCGAAACTACATCTAAAGTAAGAAGCAAAGGAAACATAATGTGCCATTATGATTTAGCTTTCGACCTTGTGATTTATTTACAAGAACTAACCAAAACATTTACCAATGAGGTTGATATTTGCAGTACTGCATTGGATGGAACTTTTGCACGGTGCCTGTAACACCCGAAGCCTTTGGAGGAGATCCATGCCCAAATGTGATGAAGAAACTGTCTGTTGAGGTCGTGTGCAGTTAGTTAATTGCCCGGAGATTCAGTTATTCATTCAAACTCATCAGACATTCTTATTGCATCAAAGGAGAGGCCATAAGTATATTTCCATACTCTTATCATTCTTTTTAACTTGGCTAAGCAACACATCAATTTGCCTTGCCTCTATACACACATACACACCTGCAGAAAGAGATTCTTTGAATGGATTGTTTGGACGCGCGCATTGCCCGAAGGAGTCCATATGAAGAAAAAAATGTAATTACAAGGTTTTACTGTTTTCAGAATTTCTGAATACTCGGTGGAGCATGCGGTGTAATGCAGCGTCGAGATGTTGCCACCTCATGAAGTGGTTGCATCTTGATGCTCCTTTGTGCTAGCTAGCGGGCTCACAATGGAACACGCTAGTGAGAATTGTTTTTAGAATTTCTGATTTATGTACTCTATTACCAACTTAATTACCATGTATGTATGTTAATTAATTAATGTGTTGAGTTTCAATTATTATTATTATTATCATCGTCGTGGTCATGATCTGGATTCTGATTTGATTTATTAACCGTTGCATTTTACGTTTTCAATAGCAACACTGGAGTTACAGTTGGTGTAGATTTTTATAATATTTGTTTTTTTCTCTTATCTTCTACATTTAAGTTTGCCAAATTTCTTTCCCACTATGTATAATGTAGATTTCTTTTGTACTCTTTTTTTTGTAGAAGTTAAGAAAAGAGTTAAGGAAACAATCCCGATTATCAATTTGGTATGTAATGTTATTATGTTAACATGACAGTTATTCTAAGTTTCGATTTAAGTTTTGCCAAATTTTGATTTTGACCCGAAAAATTAAATATCCGAAACCGACCCGAAAAAATTTAAACCGAACCTGACTCTTGTCGGGTCAGGTTTGGATAAATATATTTGACCAATCGACCCGTACCCGACTCGACCCGACCTATACCCAACTTGCAATAAGTGTTGAAAATCCTAAATTCCTATATTCTATGTATTTTTGATACACATGTTTTGAATGTTTTAGAACTTATTGCATTTCTTTGTGTTTTATACTTTTATTTTTCGTTGTAGATAAATCTTGTGTGTCACCCGTATGATATTTTCTTTATACTCGGTAAATTATCACTTGAAACTTACTATTTAATTTTTTGAGGCTCATTTGGTCATAATTTTTTTTGTTAATATCTTAAATTTTATATCATGTCTAAAATTTTAAAATTTTAATGTACTTCAATATAAAATTTTTCATGAATACTTCTATTTATATTCAAACCCGAATCAGGCGAATCTTACCGTAATCGACCTGACCGAATCTTAAATCGAATACAAATCAGAAAAAATAAATATTCGAAACTGACCCGCCATAATCAAACCCGAACTTGACTTAAGTCAGGTTGGGTTTCAATATTCTAAAACCCGACCGAACCTGACCCGTTGTCATCCCAATATAGGATATGTATGAAGCTATGGCTAGGTTAGGAAATGAGTATAAAGGAAAAGAAAGCAGAAACATAACTATGTGATCCAAGGAAATATTCAATGATATTGATTACTTCCATTCCTCCACAATTTTGTTCTTATTTTCTTAATTAGGACATCTAAAAATTTTGGTTCCTTCTCCACTCTTTTGAATCACTAGTATTTTGACCCGTGCCACGCATGGATGGGGTCAAATAAATTTTTTGTCGATTCTAAAAATTTTTCAATGCAATATTTTTTCTATAATAAAGAAAATATATTTCAAAGAAAGAATTTGTCAAAAATCACCTCAGAGTACAACTAGTTTTCCTCTGAATGGTTGATTTATGGATTTTTTAATAGAGAACTTCATTACATCTTTCATTGTGCGATCTAATGCCTCAAAAATAAATATATTCATCATACATGCTTCATCCCATATGACTAGACTTGCTTGCTGGATTTATTCTGATTTTGGTCTCCCTTGTTTGATGACACGTGTTGAGAACTCGGTTAGCACCAGAGAAATTGAAAATCTCAAGTGTGTTGTCCTTCCCCCAGGCAAAAGCAATGCTGCAATCTCACTTGATGCGACACTCAAGACAACCTTACCATTTGACCTTAGGGAAGCAGACAATCATTTCCATAGAAATATTTTTCCAGTTCCACTGTAACCATATACAAAAAGAATCATCAGGTGTCACAACTTCCATTATTTCATCGTATATCTTCTACTCCCTCTGTCCCTGAGTATTTGTCCACTTTTGACTCTTTTTAGTCAAAATTGGTAAACTTTGACTTTAAATTAAATAAAAATGATATTAGATATTGATACTAAAATAATTTTATTAGATTTATCATATCAAATATTTTCAAAATATTATTTTATCTACTTAATCTATAATATATATTTTATTTAACTTTAGGTCAAAGGTTGAAAACAGTTGACCGAAAAAAATCAAAACTGGACAAATACTCAGGGACAGAGGTAGTACTAATCTTCATTATATTCATCGTAACTACAAGAAAACTGCCGATCTGCAACGGACAAATTTCGTTGCAGAAATTGAAATTCCGTGGTAGATTTCCATTCTGCGACGGATCTGCAACGAAATATTTCTATCGCAGAAAAGTTGTGGCAGATTTAAAATCTGCGACGGAATTGAAATTCCGTGGTAGATCTGCGACGGACCTGCAACGGCATTTTCCATTTTTTTATCAAGCCAATCTGCGACGGAGGTAACCAACCGTCGCAGAGCTGCGACGGAATTAGCAACAGATTATTCCGTCGCAGATATGCGACAGAAATGCCAGAATTTTCCTGTTTTTAGGCAATAGCTACTAAAATGAGGGGCAAAACACATTCAATTTTTAGAAACATAATTCTAAACAAGATTTCAACACCAAAATTGATAATTCAAAGCTAGATTAATGAAAAAACTTCACGTGCGAATGTAACATAATTCATTATAATCTAACAATGAATACTAAGTGTCAGTGTCAAGTGTTCAAGAGGAAGCTAAGGTCGTAAAGGTCTCAACAAATCCCGGGCTGCCCTGCCCCTCCCGTTCCATCATCATCGCCTCGTTGAGGAAGGTTACCACCATATAGCTTTCTTATCTCCTCCTGAATCGTCAGCGATAAGCTCAAGGTTAGATTATCAATTTGTTCTTGCAGCCTTTGGTTATGTTCTTTAAGTGCTTCCATCTCCACTGCGCTGCTGCTACTCGTGCTGGAACGGTGAGGTTTGGAAGATGCGTAGTCACCAACTCCGGGAACGCGGTTCTTTGTGTTATGGCCCCCGACTAGCGAGTACCATATTTCTTGGTCGGTGACTTGTAGCCCTTTCTGTCTAGCCTCCTCGTGGAGTTCGAAGAATTGAGCCTGAAATATATGATAGTTAATAACACACAACAACAACGCAATAATAATAGCGTCAAGAACAACAAGAACAAGAACAACACAAGAACAAATAACAGCGTAACATATACCTAGTGAGTAGTGTTGACAGCACCATCGACGCAACAACAAAAGCAACTTGTCATAGGACAACAATACCATCAACGCAACAACAAAAACAATGTCATACGGCAAGAACAACACCATAAATGCAACAACAATAATAACAACATGATTAACAATAACATCAACAAGAAGAATAACGTCAACAAGAACAATATAATTCAAGTACACAAGAAAGCAAATACACTATCACCCTTTAGAAGTTCTAAGACAAAAGCACCAACATTATGAACATGAACACAAACTGTTTTGCGCATTACAGAAAGTACCTGTAGCTCAGCATGTTCCGGATCCACCCAAGTCTTGCCGTCGTGTTTCTTTGTCTTTGTGTGGATGATAACCTCATCCAACGGCACAGGCCCCCCTTTCTTCTTAGCCTTCAAGTTTTAATGAACATGTTCATTAAATTTTACATTTAATGTCCACCGAATAATAAGTGCAAAGCTATAATTTTATAAAATATATCTTACCAATCGATTCATATTTTAAGAAAATGGAATTGAACCTCCACAATACGTCCCAAGAGCAGGACCATCCTCTCTTCCCTTCCTTTTGTTCTTCTTCTTTGTCTTACTCAACTCTAGAAACTCTGGATCCTCTTCCCAAACCTATACTTGTATATTTCATAAACATTACTTGTACATAGCGATACGATTTCGTATGAAAACCATTACTAATTTACCTTCTTCAACTGCTCAAATGGCCTTGGGTCCATCTTCTTCTTCTTCAATCGACTTGGGTTCCTTTGATTGTACGTAAATTTCGCGTATCGTTCAGCAGCTTTCTTGAGAAAAGCTTTCCTGAGCCTGCCCTAATCGATTGATGGATCCACTCGAGCATTTTTCTACATTGACATCATAGAAAAGCCAATAACTTAGATTGTATTCACATATATTAATTTTCTTGTGATCAAAAGAAGTTAAAAAATAATTTTTCCAAAAAAACCTTGAACTCTCGATAGTAGAACTCCTTCGTCGTCTCTGAGACTTTGCGCCACGACATGCCAGCTGTGTCCGTCCTCTCGTAGAATGCCGGTGTGATGAGCCCAGCACCAGCAGTAGTGATTGTAACCCTACAAACATATATAAATAGTGAAACTAAAATCGTTAGGTATTTCTAAATGTTTTATGTCATACCATAATCTTCAAATGTACAGAGTACTTACTCGTCATCCGAATTAACATACACGAACTGACCCTGATGACCGGGACCCTCGTTATATCCACCCTCCTGGTCCTCATCATCGTGGACCTCGTCATCATGGTCCTCAGCATCACGAGTCCTGCCACTGTGTCCATCGCCACCTTCGTCCTCCTGGTCCTCAGTACTCTCCCCGACCCTAGATGCTATTTACACAATAACACAATAATACATGCATTAAAAAGAGCTATTAAACACCACTCTAATGGCTTATCCGTTGGAAATTTTTCTAAGACCTATTAAACACCACTCTAAGAGCTATTAAACACCACTCGTAGACATTAAGTTTCAGTTTCTCGATAGGAGGGCTGCATACCTGACGTACAAGGGCCAGATGGCGTAGTACGTGGGGTGGAGGGGGACACCTGCGTGTCAGTGAATGGACTCGAGGTAATAGAAGGAGTGCCTGTGGATGTAGTGGCTGTGCTCGATCCCTGGCGAGAAGAGGGTCTCCATCTACCAATGACGGACCTCCTCAAACGTGCCAACACCTCTCGATCAGTCGGCGTGGGGGGAGGAGGGTTCTCATTGTCGCTCATCTATACAAAAATAAGAATATTGTATAGTTAGCTCATAAAACAAAAAAAATCATATAGCAAAATATACATCAATCATTAATTGGGTGTGAATGCAAAGCGCAAAATGTGATCCAACATATTCTTTGATGAACAAGACTTGATGTTCTTACATTTCTTGCAACAAACCATAGCAACAATAAAGGCTAATAAACGAAAATCTTATTAAACCATAAACAACAATCATTTAAATATAGATATCAACCTATAATACATTCAATTTCACACAATTAAATTGAAGTAAATTTCACCTAAATTCTCAATAAATGTCAAATTAACAAACAAAATTTCAACTAAAATTAAACCTTAAATACTATCAATTTCACAAAAAACTAATACAATTTTTACCCAATCTCATGTCAATTTCAACTCATATTCACACAATTTAAACTAAATTTCACCAAAAATGCACTCAATTTCACACAAACAAATTCAATTTCAGCAAAAATTACAATAATAATAAATTGTATAAAATTAAACAAAAATACCTAACCTTGAAATTCACGGCAAAGAGGACCGGCGGGGAAGACTGGCGGTCGAGTGGCGGCGGTGGCGAGTGGTGGCGAGGGAACTTGGTCAAGGGCGGCGAGGGCTGGAGCGGCTGGACGGCTGAAAGTCGAGGGATCTGGCGCAGCGTGGGCTAACATTGCTGGCGGCGGAAGCGGCGAGGGCGATGAGCGCTGGCGCAGCGCGGCGAGGACGACAACGATGGAAGGCGCCGCTGAACGGCTGAGGGCGGTTGAGGGCGGCTGACGGGGGTTGAGGGATAGGTTTGAACTGATTTTGATTTTGCGTTGTGAGATTGAGATCTGATTTTAATTAAACCCCTGCGACGGAATGGATGCCGTCGCGGATTCCGTTGCCGAAGTGCGACGGAATGATAAAACTGTCGCAGATTTCATGTGCAAAATTTGACCATCTTGGGCGTCTTCGAATTTGCGACAGCATCATATTTTCCGTTGCAGATCCGCGACGGAAAACGTAATTCCGTCGCAGATAGTTTTCATTTTTCAACAATAATTCATCCGTCGCAGATTCGTTGCAGATTTGCTACGGAAACAGGTCCGTAGCAGATTTCCGTTGCAGACCAGACAAATTCTTGTAGTGTAATATCTCATTAGATCAAATGACAACTTTTCTTTATCATAGTTCAACTCATATAGAGTACTAAGAAATTATTTTGAAATCTTTTAAGTAGACTGTCATCTAGAAATGGCATCCCATTGAAAACCTTTAAAGACCGTCCATTTCAATTAAGCAACATTTCATTTTTTAAAATGTTGCCATGTTGACCTGCCACTTGTCACAATTCTATGAGATTTACTCTCAAATTTATAATATAAAGATAAAGATTTCGCTCCCTATTTAAGAAAATACCATGTGGTTGGCATCGTTTTTTCATCTCTAGGCCAAATTGTTAATAAAATTAAAAATTAAGTATATTCTCAATCCTGTAAAATATGCGAGTTTTATTTTTGATCCATGTAAAACCTGTAGCAACGCAAACCAGGTTACCGGAAATCCCCCACAGGGCGAAACTATCGCCACCGGAGGTCGTCACCCTCACATCAACGTGACAGAGGCAGAGGCCTTCATCCAGCGGGTCGGGATCACCGCTGAATAGCTTAGGGAGGTGTTGGTGGTCCAAGCCCCGAACCACGAGGTTGTGGTAGAGGATGCAACCGGGAGGCCAGGTGGGGGGAAGGCTAGACCAGCAGGCTCTGAGGGGAGAAAGAAGAATAAGGTCAGACGATCCCAGAAGAAGAAGGCGACCAAGCCCAACGGGAAGTCTATGGTTGAGGATGATCTGTCCAGATTGGACGAGGAGGATGCATCGTCCTCCTTCGAGTGGGCATTTGCCTTCGATCGGCTGGGAGATCCCAAACTAAAGAAGCCACGAACCTCTGCATTCGATCGGCTGCAGGATACTCGGTCGGCTCGGAAGGGCGACCTGAGGGACAAACTTAAGGAGAGAAGGGAGGAGTCCTCAGCGACATCCAAAGCTGGCTCGGAGGAGCGACGTAAGGCGATCGAGGACAAGAAGGCGATCGAGTTATGGAGGATGTACGATCGTCTGGAGAAGCGACTGGACGCCCAGAATAACTTTAAGACCCCCCAGATCAAGGCGTATAACGGGACGACCGATCCCCAAGATCATCTTGTGCGCTTCGGGGCGAATGTGATCATGTACGCCTACCTCGAAGAGATAAAATGCCGAAGTTTTCTGACTACACCGGAGGGGCAAGCTTGTGAATGGTTCCACAAGTTGCCTAAGGGATAGATCAACAAATGGAGCGACCTGGCCCACAAATTTCTGGAGCACTTCGCGTCGAGCCGAAGGTAGAAACTCCCCTTCTCACACTTTCTTAATGTGAAGATCCGAAAGGGGGAGCAGCTCCGAGAGTTCATTAATAGGTGGGAGAAGGAGGCCAGGGACGTTCAGGGAGCGGATTACCAGGCCTTGATCGCGATGCTCCAGGTGGCACTCCATCAAGGGGATGTGCGCAAGGAGCTGCGACGAAATCCTCTCCCCACTTATAAGGAGATGTTGGCTAGGGCAAAATACCTAGCATTGGAAGAAGAGGATGATGAGGGGGAAGGATAAAAAGTGTGGGCAGCTAGCAGGAGAAGGAAGGAAGAGAAAAGATTTTGGTAGGGGACCAAACCCCACAGGTTATCAGGCGAATACAGTCTAGTCTTTACCAGCCCTTCCTCGCAGTCAGGAGAGTTTTAGTGTCCAAGACGCGCCCAAGTACTGCGAATACCACCGTAACAGCACCCACAATACGACGGAGTGCGTTACGTTGAAGAAGGAGATGGATCAGTTGATTGCTAGAGGGCCGCCACCTCGACCGGAGAGGCAGGCACCTGGGAACCGGACATGGAGGAGACCAGCAGCTGCCACCGCAGCGATCACCAACGGGGAGGGATTGGAAGATGGTAGGCGACATCTGGGGAGAGACTGTGAGGACTTGGATGAATATGAAAGGCAGAACCATCAGCATCTGGGATGTTAGTTCATCATGGGTGGAAATACCGAAGGGGACTCGGCGTCGTCACGAAGGAAATGGAAAAGGGTGAAGGAGCAATATAGGAGTAAAACATTGATAGAATTCCAAAATAGGAGTTAAAAGATAAAACCCCTAAAATAGGAGTAGCTTACTCACCCAAAATGAAAACTGGATTTTTACCACCGAAACATAAAATCCTAAATCATGTTTACCTTTAATGCTGACTCATTAGCAACATAATGCAACTCACGTTTTTCATTAGGTAGAGACAAATCAGACAATTGCCCCTTTACACCTCTTGGGATAAATATTGTGAGTGCAATTGACACCAGATATCGGCATATTAAGCAAAGATTCTATAATGAACTTGTCTAATTAACTAGTAATTATTTGTATTATAATCTAAAGCCACTGTCATATTATCCCTTATACACACATGCATATATATTATTTTATTTAGCTTATTTGTAATAGTGGTTAGAATTTAGATCTTAAATCAAACATATTGTATTCATAATTGTGATTAACACGAATACCCCTGCATTTCCTATATCTTGCGTTTCCTACATTTTTGTTGATGGCGGCCATTCGCGAGCAAGGTGACCGTGGCTGGCAAAGGATTATCATGTAATTTTACTCATGGCTAGACAGCTTTCTCCACCACAATGCCACATTAAGTGTCCATAGTGTTAAATAAGGACATAATGGCAAAGGTGATAACATATACTGCCACACACAAAATATCATAATGACAATCATGCTAATGTATTAAGTCCTCATGCATATATGTGAATGTATAATGTCAAATGGAAATCATGTTAATGCATTAAGTCACATATGTAAATGCTTAATGTCAATCAAAGGCATAATGCCCAACATGGCAATGCATAATGTCATATATGATAATGTATAATAACAAACATGTCAACATATAATGTAACAAATGATAATACAGAATGTTAAAAAGAGAAACGCCAAGAAACTATATACTTTACCAAAAACATAATCATTCAATTCAAACTTCATGTTCAAAACCAATCGTGTCAATTAATTTTTTATTTCAATATCCCCAATCATAAAAATAACAAGATTTTCTATCTATTTGCATGTAAAAAAACTAGAAGAGTACAACAATATCAAAAGTATATGTTTTTGGATTTTTTGATTTGCTAACATTATAACCAAAATATGTACAAAGACTACACAAGAAATCCAAACAAAGATATGCAATGAAAACATGGGGAAAGAGTTTAGAAAAATCAACATGGAAATCCAACAAAATTACTTTTTACATTACAAGTACACTCAACACACATAAAAAAATTTCAACGAAAACTTACAAGCCCAACAAATCTAATCATGGTTCAAATAAAAAGTCATCAAAAAATAACAAAATCTTGGCAAGAACTCTCGTTTAGTCATCTTTATTTATAGTAAATTGTTATTGAATCATTATTAACAAAATTGAATCAACAAAAAAATAACAAATTTGAATGTAAACAAAATTGATTCAATTACAAAGCACACCCAAAACTTCATCAACAAAAATGAATCAATACCCTACATATAGAAACGTAGTAAATTGCTAAATTTAAATGTCCATACAGTGTCAGAAAAGATCACATTAAATGTCACATATAATCATATAATGACAATCATGCCAATGTATATATAAAGTCATACATGCGAATGCATAATGCTAAAAAAATAACAAATTTGAAAGTAAACAAAATTAATTCAATAATAAAACACACCCAAAACTTCATCAACAAAACTGAATCAATACCTTACATATAGAAACGTAGTAAATTACTAAATTAAAATGTCCATACACTGTCAAAAAACACCACATTAAATGTCACGTGTAGTCATATAATGATAATCATGCCAATGTATAAAGTCATACATGCGAATGCATAATGCTAAACAAATTAAATAGATAATAACAATCTTGACATTGTATAATATCATTCCTGGTAATGTATAATGAAAGATATGTCAATATATAATGTCATATATCGCAGATGCTAATGCATAATGTCAAAAGGGGGTAAATATCAAATAACCATACTATTTGTCACTAATTTTGTTTAATGAGTATTGTGAGTCTACTATTTGTCACTAGTTTTGTTTAATGAGTATTTGGACTTCCGTTTGTGCGCCCAACTTCTTTGTTCGGCCAACTTGGTTTGTGCGGCAAGGGGTTAATCAAAAGTTATAATTAATTAATTACTCCTATTTAGGGGATTTTAAGTTTGAACTCCTACTTTAAAGATATGATCCATGTTTTACTCCTATTTAGAGGGTTTTCTTAATGGAAAAACATGGTCCACCTAGCGGAGGTGCAGAGGCCACCGCTGCCCAAGCGGAAGACGAAGGAACCCTTGATCTTCACAAACGAAGATTACGCACCAGTCCTTAGCCCCCATCGGGATGCACTGGTGGTAAAGGTAGAAATCAATAACGTGGTGGTCCATCGCACACTGGTCAACACAGGCTCAGTCAACATTATGTACAACAATACTTTCAAGGAGCTGGGCCTGTCTCAAGGAGATCTTAAGCCAATCCGCACCCCACAGTCAGGATTCACCAGGGACACCATTGAAGCGGAGGGAACCATCACAGTAATGGCCGGGGTAAAAGATGGCACCCACCGACTCTGGCTTGACATGGAATTTATGGTAGTGCAACTCGATTGTACACACCATTTAATCCTAGGGCGACCGGGCCTGGAGGACTTCAAGTGCGTAATCTCCTCCGTCCATCTGTGCATGAAGTTCATCACCCCTACTGGGGTGGGAGTGGCGAAAGAAAATCAAAGCCTCTCGCGGTCGTGCTATGTCAGAGCGACCAAGACTCAAGCACGGGTCAACGAGAACGTCAGTACAATCTGTGCCGCTATCCAGAAGGAGGAGGGTCGACCCAGAGCGGAGCCGGAGGAGGAGATAGAGGAGGTGGCCCTGGATCCCGCGAAGCCGGAGCAGAAGGTGAAGGTAGGCAAGGCCCTGCAGCCCAAATTGAAGGAACGGTTGGTAAGTGTCCTTCAATCTTTAAAGTGTTATTCGCCTGGAGACCGGGGGACATGCCAGGGGTCGACCCGCGGATCATTTGCCATAGGTTGGAAGTAGATCTGGCCCAAAAGCCGGTCAAGCAGAAGAAGCGCTTCCTCTCCTCAAAAAGGAGAGATTTTGTCACAAAGGAAGTAACTACCTTGCAGTCCATCGGGCACATCTGTAATCGATGCTGGGAAAGGCTGGCATAAGACGCCCAATCCCCATGACCCTTGGCCAGCTTGAAAGTGAAGAGGAAATGGTCTAAGGTGGGCTCCACCCCGGCTTCCTTGCACTTGATCAGATAACCCGCGATGTACCGGTGGGAGTTTGGAACTAGTTGGCAAGGAAGAAGGTCCACCTCGTTGAGGAACTCGATCAACAACGAGTGCAGAGGGAACCGCAGCCCCTTCTTCAAGGAAGCCAGGTGAACAGTGGAAAACCCTGGAGGAGCATCCAGGGTGGTCTGGGTCATGGTAGGCCGCTGGACTTCAATAGAGGGGCCGACCATGTCAGTGGCGTCGGTGAACCCTTTGTCAGTGACTTGACAATGGCACAATGCCATGATATTCTCCTCCAGTTCGACCCTAGTGCCTTTCAGTGCAGGGGTCGAGGAGGGAAATTGCTTCCTTAGCCGGCACAGCTTTTGGCTGGGCGCCGCCGCCGATGACGGCTGAGGGGAACTAGATTGACCTTGATCTTGGGCAGAGGCAGAATGATCGGCCTGACGAGAGTTGGACATTGGAGAGGCCGAGTCGGAATCAGAGATAATCATGATGGCGAAGGGAGAACTGACCTGAAGATTGAGAAAAACGGGTCGGGTAGCAACGAAGAAATAGGTGAAGAAACAAGTGTTGCAGGAGGAGAAAGATGGCGTCCAGCGGCGGTTTTATCAGAGTGGGGTGGAAGGCGAAGCAGCAAGTCATGATTGTATTTAGTGGAGATCGTGCCAACCGTCACGCGAAAACAAAGGAATGACTCGGATCCATTGAGGGGGCATCCACGTGGACTTCGTAAACTCCCCATCCCTCAACGCGGCCCGTATGAGGAATGAGGAGTTGGGGGGCTTGTGATGGGCCGATACCCAGCGGGCAGCCCAAACACCATACCCGGAAGACGCTGGGTCACTAGAGCCGAGGTGCATTAACTCTGGGCCGGCCCAAGAAGTTGGGCCCGGGCCAATCAAGCAAAGAAGACAATTGGAAGAGTCAATCCGAAAGAGGAGATTCAGCGGAAGGCGGGGACGTAGCCGAAGAAAGTGGATCGCGCCATGTATAAATAGAGAGGACCCGAATGGGGATCCTCAACCTGAATCAAGCTAATAAAACCTATAATTCTCGAGTTCTTGTTCTTTATAATTTCTTTTGATCAGCTTTTCCAAATCGGATCATTTGGTGGATTTATTGTCCATCATAGTCCTTAAACGTATTACAAATATTTTTGTTTCACTTTTAATAAAGGTTAATGAACACCTCTTTGCACATTGAGTACAGTGAAAACAACTCTTTGTATTTACTGAGATAAAACTGCGTATATCTTGACTTTTTGATTTTTTAATTAGGCCCCAATATAGTTAGAAACTTAGAATTACACCAAATTTATTACTCTTTTCATCCCAAAATATTTGTCAAGTATTCCTTTTTGTATTGTCCTTAAAATATTTGATCACTTTCTATTTAGCTAAACAAAAATAAGAAGTCTCCTTGAATAGGAGTAAAAAAGTATGAAAATATCAAAATATGAGTCTTAACCCTTTTAAGAACAAATTAAGTGTATAATGATAGTGTAATATAAGTGTTGGCAGTGCGATAAAAAAATGATGACAATGTAATATGGCAATGTGATCAATCAACCACCGACGGATCACTAGTCAAGGTCAGCAATCAGTGTCGTCACTTTAGTGGCCGACAACGACGAATGACAATGTGGCAGTTGCAGTGTGGTGGTGTAATAATGACACTGTAAACTCCTATTTTGTTTTTAAAAGACTTAGGATTCCTATTTTGGTATTTTCATAATTTTTTTAATTCTATCTAGGGAGTCCTCCCAACAAAAATTGAGTAAAAGTCAAATATACCCTTCAACTTATTCACAAATCAATGCAAACTTTCACTCTGATCTTCTCATCTCTGAGTATCACATCATGCCTCTTTATCTCAGAACATTTTTCCACTTTCTATTTTTACATTGAAATTAAGAAGGGAAATAATATGTTATGGGGGCACTTTCCCCGTATAAGGTAAGCTACTAAGCTAGGATCCGCCCATGTGCACGAAAAGTAATTTTTTTAATGAAATGGTAGTTGTATATCACTTCGATTTCCTTGACATTGCTTAGTATTGTCATGGGATAACTTGGGGGGACTCTAGTGCCCCGTTCGCAAAATTGATGTTTTCTACCCACATTAATACTCCACCTCTCCCCAACCCAAACTCACCCCTCTGATCCCTTCAATTGCATCCCTCAAATTTATTTCGACTTTGGAGTCAAAATTTTGACTCCAAAGTCAAATAAACTTGGGGGTGGAATTGAAGAGGTTAAGGAGGTGTGTTCGGGGCAGGGTGAGCGGGGGGGATGTTTACCGGGGTGTTAGGGGTGTAGGAACTGCCAATTTTACGAACGGGGCACCGTAGAGCCCTCGGGTCATCCCATAAGATTGTTAGGCAATGTAACGCCCCAAAATATACCCTAGAATTATTAATGAATAATTATTCAATTAATCAAATTTGTTTTGATTAAAATAAATTGTTGTTGGGCTTTGGGCCAAAATAAAACATATATTGATATTCAATATCACAATCTGGATAAATCTCATAGAGATAAATCCAATATGTTGACTTACTATATGATCTTAATTTGGGGAACCAGAGTATAGACCCAAATTAGGGATTTGTTTACAATGTGATCTTTGAAATGATTTATTGAAATAAATCATGAAAATAAATAATATGAATTAAATATATGAATTTTATTGAACAAAGGTCAATTAAATGAATTTTGACTCTGTCAAAGTCAACCACCCAAAAATATGATGTCAGAAAAAGTATTACAAATAAATATGAAAATTATATCTTCGGATAGAGTTTAACTGCACGATCGCAACGGTTCAAACGGATTTCAATTTGGAGAACGTTGGACCAAGAAGTGTACCCCGACTGGGACCAAAAGTAGTCCCAATCAGGGACTTACGTTTAAAATCTGTAGGAACCGTAGCCCCCACCACTGAGACGCCGAAACAGGAACGGATACATCATCACCTTGGCCTCTTCCTCCATTCTTTTGCTATATAAGAAACCCAACTTCACCATTTCTTCACCATTCTGAAAGATAGCCTTGGAGAAGGCAGTGGTGCTGTCAATTTGGTGTGAGGTCGCCGGAGTTGAGAGTTATTGTCGCCGGAAGTTTCACCGGAAAATCTTCAAAACCTCCATTAAGCTTCGAGGTAAGCCCGTAGATATATCTAGTGATTAGAATGTTCGTGTAGATCGTTTTTACGTTCATAAACGGTCATTTGGTTGAGTTTTATGTTTGACATGTTTGAAGAACCAAGAGTCATAAACCAAGAAATAGTTGTTAAAACTACAAATTAATGACTCTAAAATGATCTGTGAACATTGGAGAACATTCCTATATAATTTAACTGAAGTTTGGTAATTAAAAATGATAATGTTAAAAATTGAAAAGAGGAAGAAGATGATGAACAATGGCTGGCTGAAAATCGATTATTTCCTTCCTAATAATCGATTAAAAATTTGTTCAGATAGTCAGTATATTTAAAAAATAATAATAATCGATTATTTTAATCATAAAAATCAATTTAAAGTTATTAATCGATTATTTTAATTATAAAAATTGATTTTTAAGTATTAATTGATTATTTTAAATATAAAAATCGATTTTTAGGAATTAATTGATTATTTAAAATATAAAAATCGATTTTAGTAATTAATGGATTATTTAAAATATAAAAATCGATTTTTAGCAATTAATTGATTATTTAAAATATACAAATCGATTTTTAGCAATTAATTGATTATTTAAAATATAAAATTGATTTTTAGCTATTAATGGATTATTTTAAATATAAAAATCGAGTTTTAGGTATTAATTGATTATTTTTAAAAATAAAAATCGATTTTTCTTAAGTCCAGATCCTGTTCCGAAAATATTCGGAAAATATATGCTCTAAAATCCACCAATTGATTATGATCATTGGAAAAATGATTTACCATAATAAAAATTATGTTTTTAACAAATAAAAATGTTATGTGATGCATGACGGTAAGTTAGGGTGTTAACACCCAAAGCTAGGCCGCTAATTATTATTGAATATTATGTTGATTGATGATTATGGTAATGATTATTGATTGATTATTATGATGATTGAATCTCGATGAATATTCTGATTAAAAATGATAATTGTGAATGATTAAATCATAATGAATATATTGATGATTGTGAAAATAAAATGTATTGTTAAGGGTATCTAGAAGACCTCTAAGATATGCCCATATTAATGTTGATTTGAAAGGTATCAAGAAGACCTCTAAGATATACCTATTTAAGTTAGGCCTTGCGGGTATGAACCCCGGTGGCTAGGGTTAAAACGTACGTACGGGATCTAAGAACCAAACTTGAGTACCTACTCGTTTGGGGGTACCACCCACCCAACAGTGAACACTACGCTGTCGGTTTTTGGTTGGCCTTAAGTGAAGGTAAGTTTAAGATTTTCAAAACCCTTTTATCTTAAACTAGGTCTAGCTTAAGGATTATTTAGGAGTACTTTATACTGGAATATAGTTTAATTATTTAAACTAGAATTCATTTAAGGGTTGATAAACATTGAAGTGATTGGCCTTAGACTAAGAATAGTTTAAGGATATTGTCAAATGTTGAATATTGAATATGAATGAATATTGAATGATGATTATTGAATTGAATATTGTGAATATTATGAATAACCGATGAACGTCGAATATGAATATAAATGTTGAATAATGAATGAGGAATATTGACTAATGATTATTGAATATCTGAATTGAATATTATGTGCATGATATCAAATGATTTGATTATGAATTTAGATTCAGTTTATATGGATGTTCGATGAATTAGATATGCTTACTCAGCTTCAACGCTGAGCGTGTAGTATGTTTTATTTGCTACACGCAGGTTAATGAAGTGACGTGATCCTGGAGGCAGACGAAGGCGAGATTGTCGGAATGGATGTGATGGTTTTGAATTAAAGAACATAAATAAATTATGTTTGTGATTATGATTGTTAAGCTTCTGCAATATTGAAAACTCCGTACTGTTTATATTATGAAAAATATTATTGTGATAAATAAAAGTGTGAAATGTTTTAAATTTTTACGATTACCAAGTTAATACTTTAATCTGAAAGGGGCTGCAGACCTGGACAGGTTAGGGTGTTACAGGCAATGTCAAGGGTACCGCCCCCAAAAGTGGGCTAGATACATCAAAGGACCGAAAGGAAATATTGCCCCAACTAAAGTTATACATATGTTTAGGGGTGTAAACGGTAATCAGATCGGATGTGTCATTATGAAATCCGTATCCGTTTATTCTTTTCGGATATCGAATTCGGATACAGATCTTGACGGATACTGAAAATCAAAATCGTATCCGCATACGTCGGATATCGGTCGGATATCGGATATATCCACATCCATTTCCAATTTTTAAAATCAAATTACACAGTACTTTAATGTTAAATTAGATTAAAGTCAAACTTTTATTAAATCAACCATAATTTGTTATGGGATAATTATTTTCTTTGTTTTAATGATTTATGATATTCTACGATAACTTCGTATGATAAAAAGATATATACACAACACACATATACACATTTTTATATGTCTACACATATA